CCCGTTTGACACCCATTATTTTGAAGAATGAGTTTTTGAATAGTGATTGATGTAAAGAATGTGTGGTTAAAAAGTAAGAAGAATTTTTGGGTTTATGTGTAATATTATTTTATTTGGAGAATGTGTGGTTAAAAATGAGTACTGTAGAAAAATGAGAATGAGAATGAGATAAAAAATGGGTGTCAAACAGGGGCTTAGTGGTTCTTGAGAATGATTTGGACATTGAAGTGCATTACTACCGCGTAGAGTAAGAGGTGTCCACAAACCTCATGGACCGCTATTTGTTTTTATTTTTTCTTGTGTTTGAGAACAAAATTATTCTTAATATTAGTAGGTATTTTGGATTGTAAATTTGTTAGGATAGTATGATAGTCGATGTAACAAGTTAATAATTTTGTTGACTTCTAAGCACTGGTAGGCATCAATGTCTATTCATATGTTTACTACTATAGCACAGTATACAATTGTCATGAGCTTTGTCGTTGCGACCCCATTATGGGACAAATTCTACTGATTCAACCCATGTCACTTTAATAGTATTTTTCCTTTGAAAATTGTATAATTAACTAATTATCGAAATTGTTAAACAAATATAGTATTTTTTTTAATTTTAGATTTTTTATATGTATTATTTTAATTATTAAATGATTGAGAATTTAAAATAATATTAAAATAAAAAAATATTTTTTTACGCTTAGGCTTCTCTTAGGCTCCTAAAGTTTGAAACTTGACTTCTATATTTGGTCATGTTTTACACTTTTTAGAGCACTGATAGTGAAATATTTTATGAATTTCAGAGGGCCAAGGGAAGAGTTTTGTTGGTGAGAATTCTAAACTTGTAGTTGATTGTTTTGTGCTTCTATTCTGATTCATGGTTTCCTCTTAGCTAATAGGAAACCTATTATTATTACATATTGAAGAAGAATCAAATAAAAAACTTATCTCGCTTAAGGTGCAAGGTACAACAAAATCCTTAGTGGTTGAAAGATTTTTAGGTCCCTGGTTGTTTGTGTCCACGAAATTGNTTTAGTTCACTGGTTGTTTGTGTCCACGAAATTGTATTGAGCTGTTTTTGAGATATTTTGGTAATCTTACAAGTTGACAGATAATATTGACATGAAATGGATATTCCAAATAACTATATTTATTGTTTGTTTCAAAGGCTAGATGGGGGCCACATTTTACACTTGTATTTATGTAACATTGTTACGATGTGTCAAGATACATATCTAATCAAGATCGAGTTTCGATAACGGACTCTTAACTCAAAAGAGGACATATGCTTTGACAAAACACTGTTACGCCATATAAAAATACACTTCTAATTTCTGTTTGAGAGATCAAAATATTGCGCTTGTTTGGTAAAGATTTTTTCAGAAATAAATTTTTTGAAAAATATTTTTGTGTTTTGTTGAAAGTGTGGTGAATGAACCACTTGGGGTATCTTGGGAGGCTTGGAAAGTTTATTGGTACGTTGAATTAGAAGATAATCTATTGTACACATGAACAAAATGACCAAACTTTTAATCACTCTTTTGGCAAACACTTTTAATCCCAAGAAATGCTCAATAATTTCTGATATTCATTACAATATTGGCATTTCGAAGCGAGATTAATATGCATTTTGTGTTTGATCACCTCATCCATATGCATCGAACTATACCATATTTTCCATAGAAACAACGAGATTTTGAAGCAGATTGATTTATGCAAGAACACATTATGCACTACGTAGCACTAGACATTATTTCTTTGGAACAACACTAGAGATACATTAAAAAAATCACACTAACCTCCCCTAATCATAGTTTTGAGCAAGGTACTAAAATGCATAATGTGTGACAATGCATTTCGGTCTAGCGTCAAGCATTACAAACATATGCGTGCCTATGTGTAATTATACATTTTTCAATTTCTAATATTATTTTAAATAATTGAAACTAATAAATAATTAAAATAATTCATTAATAGTTGAAATTGAAAACGTATAATTATGCATGTACTTCGCATAGGCACGCATATGTTTGTAACTACGAAAAAAAAATATTGATTTTTTTATTTTTCTAAACGTCAAAATCACACATATTGATGTATATAATACATGGGCTTGGGTGATTGGGCTAATTTGATGTTTGTTGGGCTCAATTTGCTTTTTTTAAGTTATAAAAATGGGTTGAATTTTGTTAGGCTAATTTGGACACAATTTTTAACACAAATACATGAGTGTTTTGACGCTTAAGCGCGCATATACTATCAATGAAATGGATTGACCGAATTATCATATGCATACCCCATATGTGAGACGTTATGAGAATGCCACGCATATGCGAAGTATATATGCACATTTTAAAACATCGATTTCGAAAGGAAAACTGTATTCATCAACTACTACACGTCAAAAGGGAAAACTGTATAAATAAACTCCATATGCAATTTTGCCTTGCTCTAAATTGAGCATGTGAAGTCCATATTATAATTGGTAATTTTTAAATTTGTAATTGGCAATTTCCTTAGTCAAAATCAAGTACTAATTGAATTGTATTATGAGTTTATTAAATTGTAATTAAAGTCAATAGTTAAGGATTAGTAGTATATGTCTCAAAGGAGTTCAATATGTCAAAGATGTCTAATAAGATCACATATGATCAAGGAAATACAATTAGAAGTGTAAAAAAGTATCAAAAGCAGTACAAGTTATGCTCTAAATTCTCAGTTGCAACTTGCAACACATTTATCACATAGAAAACATTGGAACTTGGACAAGACTATTTTTATAAGAATTGTAGCCATTTGAGTTAGATTTCGAATGCATTTTGAATCAACTCAATTGGATATTGAGAGAAAATTATAAAGAAAATACTGACGATTGCTCAATTGTTATTCGCCCGTCGCTAGACTAACGCTCAAGCGACGTGGTTATTCGAGAAACAATAAATTTCGATTCTCAAGCTGATTTTGAGTTCATTTTCATCCCAAACACTACCCATTATAAATATACACCCTATAGGATGTCTAAAAGTGAGTTGAATATATTTATTCCGTAGAGATCATTTCTTCGAAGATCCAAAATATTTATTGATTCCATGAGTCAACCATCACATTTTAATTGTTCCATAAATTCTTCCATAACATATTTTATTGATCAAACCATATTATTTCATATTAAACCATAGATCAAAACACACAAGATATTTTGATCCATCACAACCTTTTTAGCTTATATGTGAGCATGCCATTTGCAATGACCCAAAAAAATCTTCTTGCTAAATGTCTCTTCTAATTACAAACTCATAGCTTCAACAACAAGAAATTGCATACTTATTTTGATCTTAAGACGCGACGAAGGACTTTGGAAAAATGTTAATGAGTTGTTTCACTCTGTTTCAAGTAGAGTAGAGCAATCGAAGGATAGGGTGACAAATGATAATAACTCAAAAAACGTAATTTTTAATAACTATATTTATATCTAAAATCAGCATTGAGCATCTCTAATGATGTTCTAAGATCTAAATTTGGAAAACTCTCTAATTAAGAAATGTAAAGTGAATTTTGGAGCAAGAAATATATAAAAAAAAAATGTAAATTTATATATATTTTTTCTTAAAATTTACCTATGTGATCCTCAAGAGGCAAAACGTTACAAACATACTTGCACCCAATTTTTTTTTTTAAATATTTTTATTGGAATAGAATTTGAATTTAGATCCACCAAGTTGTAAATGAAGATGCAAAATTAATTTTGAAAATATCAATTTACATTCAATTTTTTTACCATTATTGAAGATACTCGAGGAAAACAAATGTAATGGATCCTCGTTTCACTATCAACGTAAAAAATATAGGCCTTTAAAAAAAAAATCCAGTAATGATAAACTTTTTGCAGAGAAAATTCATTTTTTCGTCTAATTTCGAATAAGTTTGCTTTTAAAAAACTGGGGGAAAAAAAAAAAAAAACCCTAATATCAAATAAAGAAGAGAGAGAAGAAACTGTTAAACCCCAAACCCAGAACGGAGGCTTTTGTACAATCGTTAATGGCACTCATGGCTAAACTTCCAATGAATGCCGCTTTGGCTACTCAGCAACATAAGAGTATGCTCATTCCATGGTCTTGTGAAAGATCATCAGGCAGTAATGTCAGTATCAATGTTTCCAAAAGGAGAAAATTTTTGGTTGCGATGGAAAGAACTCCAGTGCAATCTACATCGCAAAATATTGGGCTCCCTATTATGGTAATTTCAATCTTTGTTGATTTTCTCGTATTTTTATCTTTATTTTTGGTAAATTTACCTTTTTTTCAATTCGGTTTATGATTTTTAGTTGAAGTCAATTTCTCATGGTACATCGAGTGTTGAAAGTTGTACATTCTACTATTGAGACCTCAGGGATAAGAGACACGGATCTTTCGTGTTTAATCCTGCGCAGTCCTGGTTCCGGGTAGGTATTCATTATTGAAATGCAGTGTATGCGTATATGAGCGAATTGCAGATTTAGGATTTAGAATGTGGATTTTATGACAGTGATTAAATAGCAGAATTCTATATTTTTGCTATTTACCGGAAGCAAACTGACACTACTTGATTGTCAATCCAATGTACCTTTCTGGTACCACTATGCCAAGTTTATTTACTAAAATTGTATTTAATGAGACACTTAGTCTTCGAGGAGCATCATACTCAATTTGACTCTTCTTCATGCCTTTTGGCTTATGCCAAGGCAAACTCAATAGCTTCGCAGCAGCCACAGTCTGAGCTTGCCTAGCTGAAAATACTGGATGGCTGAGTCAATTCCATCAATAAGGAAACCATCACGAGCCCTGCAAACCGTTGCATGACTTCTGCATATAGTGGAGACCAGAGAAGTTGCCTGCCAGCATTGTGGTGTTCATCTCTGGCCTGATTATACGTAGCCTTCCATATCTTTTGTGCCTTGTTATATTCTTGAGTTGCTTTGGCATGCTTGCTCTTCTAATCAATGATCCTATATCGTCAAAGACTCTCCTTTTCAAAAACAAACTAGTCCATGCCTTCTGACTATGCCAACATTTTGGATTCCTTTGGGGTTTGCCAAGTTAATTACAGAGTTTTCAGGAGAAATGCTGGATATTCCCTCAATTGGATTTGTTATTATGATGCGTTAAAGTTGTCTTTTAACAGAATTTCTTGTTTACTTATCAACATTTTTGTTTTCCTTCTATATACGAAATTTATTATTATTTGTATAGGTCATCACTTGCGCTGCCATAGAATATTTCTCACCTGCTGTTTCCACATTATTTTTCCCTCAGAATTTTAAAATTTTCAGAAGATATTGACATTTGTAACCATTTATGTTCAGAATCTTTGTTATGATTTTGTTAGTTCTCCAAGAAAGATGACATATTGTCCAATCGAGCTTTAGTGTTGTGGACGCTCCTTATATAATTTCCGTTTTCATAATTTTGTGCAGGTAAATGGTTGTACTGGAAAAATGGGGAGGGCTGTTCTTGAAGCCGCTATCTCTGCTGGACTTCACCCCATTCCTGTAGCATTAGGTGGTCCGTTAGATTCTGGGAAAATTGTGGATGTCGGTGGAAAGGAGATTGAAATTCATGGCACGTCTCAAAGAGAAGACATTCTGTCTTCTGTTTTAACTGAATATCCAAATTTGATTGTGGTAGACTACACGGTCCCAGCTGCTGTGAATGGTAAGCATATGTTGATTTATGGTATAATGCAAGGGTGTAGCTTAGTTTCCAAAATGCTTTTGCTATGTAGCTAGAATCCAAAGTTATAGCTTGTGCACTTTTTGTATTCTGGTATACAGAAAATGCTGCACTGTATTGCAAAGTTGGGGTACCATTTGTAATGGGAACCACTGGAGGAGACAGGGAGCTGCTGTATAAGACTGTTGCAGACTCAAATGTTTATGCTGTGATCTCTCCACAAATGGGTAAACAGGTACTGTTAACTTTGCAATTGTTATTTAGTTTGTTATGTATGATGTTCAATTGTTTTCTTGTATTTTGCATTTGTAAAACCTGTTTCACTGATGTCTTTTAGGTGGTAGCATTTCTTGCAGCCATGGAAATTATGGCAGAACAGTTTCCTGGAGCTTTCTCTGGGTATCATTTACAAGTGGGGTCTCTATAGTCCCTTTCTTTTCTAGTTTAAGAGTTTATTATAATTTTCTCCTGCTCTTCAATTTAATACAAAAAATTCAACAGTACAGGCTTTTTTTCCCATAGGCAGCAATTTATTGAGCGGGCTTTTCTTTCGTATTAGTTTTTTCTCGGCTGTGTGTGTTGCATGAAGGGGAGTGCACATGTCAGCATACAAATAACATACAGGGAAAATAAAGTAATAAATCCCGAGTCACCACTACCATCAGTTGATAGCTCCAGTAATATCCACTCCCACCTTAATTAAGGAGTTATTTATCAGCTATATACTTGATCATTGATGTGTATGAATGCTTTGTCTTGTAGAATGATGGAAAAGGTAAATTTGAGAATGCACTGATGTATTCTCTTTTACTGATTTTCCGTACCTTCCAGTAAGTGTTCATATCTTAATTGCATTATAAGACAATGCACCTCAAAAACTTTATTATAATCTTTCAGTTTTCTGTGAAACTTCCCATTTTTGCTTGTTTTACCATCTTGTCTGATATATTAATATTGATGATTTTAAGTGTGAAATTTTGGCCCTTATTTTTTTTCTTTGAGATGTTCTTTTATCCATATGTAATGCTTGGATTAGTGATTTTTGAAGTTGAAAGTAAGAATGTTAAACTCACTCTCTCGTTTAATCCCTGGTAAAACTTATATAAGGTGATGGAGTCCCATCAAGCTAGCAAATTGGACATTTCTGGAACTGCTAAGGCTGTCATAGCATGCTTTCGGAAACTTGGAGTCTCCTTTGATCTAGATCAGGTGCGTTTGGGGTGTTCATCGTAGACACATTATTGAAATATATCTCTCCTTACCCACACCTTTCAAGGATGAAAACATAGGTATTCTGGAAATTATTGCTCAATTTGGCATAAATTAACTTTGAACACAAAGAAAAGTTAGCGAGTTTCTTGCTTCAAAGTTTTCTGCATTTAACCTTGAAATATATCTCTGCTTTCCCACGCCTTTCAAGGATGAAAACGTAGGTATTCTGGAAATTATTGCTCAATTTGGCATAAATTAACTTTGAACACAAAGAAAAGTTAGCGAGTTTCTTGCTTCAAAGTTTTCTGCTTTTGACTTTGTAAATGCATGATTGAACATGAATAAAAATACTATAAATCTCGAAGAAGACTTAAAAATTAAATTAAGCCTCAAGACTGAGGAGCTCAAATACATTCATGTTGAAAAGTCTCAGGTGAAGTACCCAGATGTTATTATTTGATGAAGCTCAACATTTTAGGGCGCTAGTCAATGCTCTCTACTCGTCATAATTTTCTCATCCTCTCTTCTGGTTCATTTTTTCTGCATTGTAGGAGTTCATTAATTGTTTTCATATGTTCCCATTGAGACAATGAAATTCATTAGTGAGGAGATTGTTGGTTCAAGGGCAGAAGTGGTTTTGGAGGTGCGATCAAGATGCATTCTTGAAAAGAGTAGCAGAATAGGTATGACTTGGGAAATTGGGGGCACTGGAAAACTATGTAATTGGCTTATATCATTGACATTGGACCAGTGAGCTGAGCTAAAATGGTGAAATTACTATGACACGAGGCGGTTTCAGAAGATTTGGTTTCTTTGGACGTTTGTGTGGGTAGCTCTGGATCGAATGGAAAAGTGAAAAATGATTACGTAACAGACACAAGTTTACTGTTATTAAGGCTCAGGTTGCTGATGTATTCTTGGTTCATGATGTATCAGAAATTGCTGCAGTTAAAAAGGACTGCTTGCACATAGCTTTAAGGTGCTAAGGCTACGAAATTACACGTGGCTTTGGAGAATGCATCACGCCGTTCTTGTTTTGTTCTTCTATTGTTTTCTGATTATGCTGGACCAATTAACTTGCAACGAAGTGGATGTCTTTTTTCGCCATCTCTGCTCAGAGTGTGAGCCCATTGTGATCCTGCATCTTTGTTATCATGATATATCTTGCTGTAAATTTGTTGTCGAGTGCTTGAATTTATGATATCTTGTATAGAATAGCCTACTCCTGTTTCAAATAGAATCTTATGATGTTTCCAAGCTTTCAACTTTTATTTCCTGATATTTATCATCATTCTATCCAATAAGGTTCAACTAATTCGAGACCCCAAGTTACAAATTGAGATGGTGGGTGTCCCAGAAGAGCATATATCTGGCCATGCTTTCCATATTTATCATTTAACTTCGCCTGATGGAACGTAATATACTAACCCTCATTTTCAACATTGTTATGATACTGTCGTTTTTTGCAAGCAGCAAATATTTGCTTATGCTATTTCTTCTGTTTTTTTGTTGGAAGTGTTTCCTTTGAGTTTCAGCATAATGTTTGTGGACGATCAATTTATGCAGAGGGTACGGTTGATGCTATACTTTTCCTTGCCAAGAAGGTAAATATAGTTCGTAATAATTTGTGATAGTAGTATAACTCACTTTTGGCATCCCATTTGTTCAAACCAATCAGTCGAACATGTTAGTTGTATAATCCCCCTTTTGTCCCATGTAACCATGCTTTCACATTATGTGTACTGCATATGAAGTCTTGTCTTGGATGCAGGTTCAATCGAAAGCAGACAAGCGCATATATGACATGATTGATGTTTTGCGCGAGGGTAACATGAGATAAGGGCTGTTCTCAACCTGATGCATCCTTATTTGTAGTTTATTGGGACTCCTTTTACAGTGTGTAATGCCAGAATATTATAACATGATATAAGATCAAAAGTTGAAACTTGAGGTTCATGTCAATTTTTGTACCTAGGAAACGTTAGATTTACGATTTGGTTTCTCCATATGGATGGAAATCCAGATTATGAAAGAGGGGCGAATCTATTTATTTAAATCGTACTTCCAACTATCTTAAAAAGGATGATTCTCAAATAACCAGACACGAGGATTCTCCACAGAAAAATCATTCATGATGCAGCACGATGTCATGAAGGTAGTTAAAAATTAACTGCCTATTAAATTTAAGACATTAGCCTCTGGCAAATTTATAAATTATTTAGTAAGAGAAAAAATAATGAATCCCACGAAATATTTGAATAAAAATGAGTAGTAGTTGTGAAAGTGTGATTAAATTTAATATTTGATTTTGACACCCAAACTAAGGCTATGCCTGAATGATTTTGCCCATCTGGGTCGATACCTAGCATTTGTTAGGTCTTAGTCAAAGCCAGAATTGTTCATTATATCCACTTGGGAGTCTGAATTGGGCCTTGCCCTTTAGCTACACACGTGCTACAATAGTCGAGACTTCTCTATTTCTGCTCTCCACCTGGAAAATATGTAAACAAATTAAAAATATATAAAAATAAAAGACTATTTGAGTGTGGTATCTTGAACTTTCTTAGCTTGCGGGGAAATGAAGACAATGCTTCGCGAAAGAATTGTACAGCGTGGTGAAAGGTTTTTTGTTATAATTTTCGACTCTTTTCATCTCCACCTACTTACAGAAAATGTGATATTTCATGATGTTAAAGTGTCAGACAATTGAGAAGGATACGAGTGAAAGCAATAGATGTTTTGATTATGACTTCTTCCTAACATTCCATGCTGACAAAAGCAAGGATTTCGATCAGTTTTACCTATTGAATTCGAACCAACGACTCTCGTCGTATGAAATAGACTTGTAACAAAATTTCTAAATGAAACCAATTTCAATCTCTTAGTATAAACCTACAAAATTCAAGCATTTGTTCTGTCAAAAAGAGAAAGATGAGGGACCCCGAATCAATATAGGAAATTTTTTGACTCCGATACATTTCAGATATATATACTCAGATACATACGCACACAGCAATAGATATTTATACGCGGTCGAATATTTGTGCTCGGCGATAATAGATTTTCCCGAACGAACTTCACCTAGGTTTTCACTTTTCAGTCTCTTCTCAATCGTAAGCTCCCTCCCTCTCTCTCTCTATATATATATATATATGTTTGTTCGTGTCAATGCTGTTAATACGTACATTAAATTGTTGTTTTCTTCTTGAAATTCTGAAAGAAAGATTTTGGGTTGAGACTACGGTTCGCAGAGATCTCTATTTATTGTATCAGTTTAATTTTCTTGTTTGATAATATTATTTCCTTGGTACTCCTCTTTATGTAAACATTTTTGGGTAAAAGTGAAAAATCAGGAGAAATTATGATTGAATCGTTGTTGAATTTTGGTCTAATTTGTGCGTGTTATTTTTTATTTTTTTGATAGTTATTGATGTTTCCTTTTTTTTTTTTCTGGTGAATTTCGTGGGGTTAACTTTGAGCAAATTATTTAGCGAAAAGCTTCGATTTTTTTTTGTGTCTGTATGGCCAAGCTTAGTTATTTTTCCCCTTTTCAGAGGTTATCTGTTTTTTCTTTTCGGTTCCTCTTCTTCTTGGGTGATGAGATTTTTTGATTAGGCCTAATTAAGCATAAAATATTTCTTTTTGGAGAAGCTTACCAAATAAAAATTTAGAGAACTTCATCCCAAAGTGCTGCCATCTAAAATAGCTAATTTTTCAAGCTGTGTAGTGAGTCAATTCCCCATGAAAGGAAAATTGTCGATTTTATGCAATATGTATTGATATCATTTAGGAAATTATAATACCTTTTAGCGAATTTGTCTATAAGGTTTACCACTTAGATTTTTCTTGCTTTCTCGGGCATTGCCTGTTCTATATTTATCTGCAATCTGTTTAACACATTATGTATTTTGTTGATCCGGCCTTCAATATGTGGAAGTGTCGATCATCACCAGTTGCACGTGAACTAGTATCTGTACGTCCCATTTAAGTCTCTTTTTTTTATTTCTTTTATTTATTTTGAACATCTGTTCCATGGAATCTGTTGTCATAACTTTTGAGATTGAACAAGGAGTAACTTGTTTTTCTCACATTATTTTTGTATCTGTGAAATAGCATGATAAAACTGATAGTTCAAGAATGAACTAGTTTTAACTTTTTTATGATGGTGAAGTTTATCTGAAATTTTAGTTTATTACAGTAATGGTGATTGTGTAAATCGGCTTAGAATGAGTGCCAAGTGTTGGTTTATATTCAAGCTTGAAATGGCAAGTAAATCATACCTAACCAATAATTGACTGAGAAGTGATCATCACTTCCGTTGGTAACTAAAAGATACTGAAAAGAAAATGGTATCTGAGGAGTGTCATTCCTCGTCGTGGCTGAAAAATTATGAGAAATGGTATTTGGGCTTAGTTGTTATATTTTTAAAAATAGCGTTTAGATCAAGTTGAAAAAAGAATTCATGTGGCTGACATCAAATTTATTGGGAGCTAGGCATAGTTCGTTGCTGTAGTGTTGAGTGTGACTGTTGAGATCTATTGATAAGTGGGAAAATATGATCATGTTGATGGATCCATGGAAACAGTCATGTAAACTTTTTTGCCCTTGAAATGCTTTCCCGTAAGAAGTAATTATTTTTGTATTGGGTTATTTATTTACATAATTATATCTGGTTTGTTTGTATAAGAGCTAGTTAATTAACCACTCACGTTCAATGCAGCTTGAGGATTGGCACTAGGGGCAATGGCAGATTTAGAGAAATTGCTCCTGGAGGCAGCTGGGAGGACAACTGCAACTGGGAGGAACCGCCATTCTTCTCCACCATCGAGAAGACGACGAAAAGGTTCACAAACTGATGATGGAAGTGACTTCAAAAATGATGACTCAGATGACGATCGCGGTTATTCAAATAGAAAACCTTCTGGCGCACAGGTTCCTCTGAAGAAGAGGTTGGATCCCACTGAAAGAGACAATGACCGTAGTAGTCGGGAAGATGCTGACGAAGATGATGATTATGATCAAGAGCGTGACAGTGATGACGATTCTGTTGGGAGTGATCTGTACAAGGATGAAGATGATCGGGAAAAGCTTTCAAAGCTAACTGAACTTGAACGTGAAATGATACTAGAAGCACGTGCTACCAAGAGAAGTGACAGGGATTTGACTGAGAAGTTTAAAAAAATGAAGGGTCAAGATAGAAAAGGGAGCCACCCCACACCACCTACGCGCAGCCTGCGCTCGAAAGCTGAAAGGGCAGGTGCATTGGATGAACTAGTTAAACGAAGAAGAGATGCAAGGGGAGGTTCTGGCGGCCGATACTCCCCTGTAAAGAGGAGATCTTTCACCACAGCCACTTTAAATAGTCCCAGCCGGAGTGGAAGTGGGTCTCATAGCGATGAGGAAGATTCAACAGGGGATGGTGGAATGGCTGATAGTGATGATGAGAAGACATCCGAGTCCAAGACGCTATCATTTGAGGATATTAAGGAAATTACGATTCGAAGGTCAAAACTGGCTAAATGGTTTATGGAGCCTTTCTTCGATGAACTGATTGTTGGTTGTTTCGTGAGGGTTGGAATTGGGAAGTCAAGGACAGGGCCTATCTACAGGCTCTGTATGGTTCGCAATGTTGATGCCTCAGATCCTGATAGGCAGTATAAGCTTGATAACAAAACAACATACAAGTACCTAAATGTTGTCTGGGGCAATGAAAGCTCTGCTGCCAGGTGGCAGATGGCAATGATTTCAGATTCTCCGCCTCTCAAGGAGGAGTTTGATCAGTGGGTTAGGGAGGTGGAACGCAATGATGGTCATATGCCTAGCAGACAGGAGGTGTTGGAAAAGAGAGATGCCATACAGAAAACAAACACATTTGTCTACTCAGCAGCCACCGTAAAACAAATGTTGCAGGAGAAAAAGTCTGCCACATGGCGACCACTAAATGTTGCTGCCGAAAAAGATCGTCTCAGGAGGGAGTTGGAAGTTGCCAAAATGAGGGACGACGAGGCAGAGGTTGAGAGGATCAAAGCAAGATTGCAAGAATTGGAGGCATCGCGTCAAACCCAGGGTAAAGATTCAAAGGCAGTTCGGCTGGCAGAAATGAACAAAAGGAACAGAGTCGAGAATTTCAAAAATGCATCCGAAAAGAAACCCGTGAATACAAGTTTGAAAGCTGGTGAGGCAGGGTATGATCCATTTTCAAGAAGATGGACTAGATCGAGGAATTATTACCTGTCAAACTCCGTTGGAGAAGCAGCAGCAGGCGAGATAAATGGTGATGCAAGTGCTGTTCTAGAGGTTGCTAATAGCAATGGAGGAGTTAAAGTTTTGGCCGAGGCTGGAATGGCGGCTACAGCAGCAGCCCTGGAAGCAGCAGCTGATGCCGGGAAGTTGGTGGATACAAGAGCTCCAGTCGACCAAGGGACTGAATCAAACCTTCTACATAATTTTGAATTGCCCATTTCATTGGCTGTGCTTCAGAAGTTTGGCGGTCCTCAAGGAGCCCAAGCTGGATTTATGGCCAGGAAACAAAGGATGGAAGCAACTGTAGGCTGTAAAGTTCCTGAGAACGATGGGAGGAGGCACACGCTGACCTTGACAGTGAGCGACTACAAGAGACGGAGGGGCCTATTGTGAAATTTAATTTTAGCAAGCGACCGTGCTTTCTCCATGTGATTTAAATATCAGCATTTAATACATTGTTCTATAAAATGTTTTACCTAGTGTAGTCGATTATCTACAAAACAGAACAGAAATTACTCGTAACAGAGTCGACTGTTTGACATTCGAAGTAATGTACAATCATTTTCTGCTCAAATGGAAACACTTCTCTTCATTGGAGACGAATATGGGGAAGACGTTCAACATGAATAACATAGAGGTCTGCTGACTTGGAGCAATCCAAAGTATAAATTACAATCTAAAATGCAAGCATACTATCCAAAAACATAACCACTTCTCTTCATCTCATTCGTATAGAAATTAATGATATTTCAAGATGACCTTGCACCAAGCTTTAGCCTCACGTGATGCTCGCCCAACCCACATTGCTCTCAATAAATTCTTTCTAGTCTGAATCAGAATCGAGATTCACAGTTGATCTAACTGATGTACGTTTACTATCAAGATAATCATCATCATCTTCTTCTCCTTTCTTCTCATCAATCATTCCTGCAAAATGATGGTTTAGAAACTGTAGCAACATACACAAGTCGCATTACATTTTGTATAACGCCGTCACCTTTCTTAAACAGAAGAACTTCAAGAGTCCTCGTGCTGAAATCATCTTTACTTCCCATGTCATCAAATCCAACCAGCCTCCCTATTGCAATTCCTTTCCTGAAAGAAAATTCACAATTCAATATAAACGACAATAAACACTAAACTGGATCAAGCTCAGTATATATTTACTGCCTATCAAAAGGCAATCAGAACCTGCTGACCAAAAACTGAAGTACCAAAAAATAAAACCATTTCCTTGTAGGTTGTGACCCAATTTAAGCTGATATTCAACAAACAAATACACCCAAACTCATGCCCAGTTTCCCAAAGGAATAGCGTCAACAGCATCAGTACATTCACCAAAGGGATTCTAGGTATCTTTTTTAAGGAGTCAATCTCAGGAAGGATTTATCAGCAACATTCATACTACATCGAATTGGATATTAGAAGAAATTACTAAATCATACATGTTATCCATCAAGTTTCTGAAAATCATGAATCTTGTTCACCTTGGTTAATATAATACCACTATGAGTCTCTGTATGTATGAGGTTGGCTGCTTATTACACCTCAGCCTTTATCTTCTTTGAGAGTAGAAGAGATGGAGAAAAGACTGGAAAGAAAACAAGAAGGACGGAGGAAACTTAAAAAATGGAAACAAGAAAAGAAAGAATACAGAGATGGAAAATGAGCAGTGCAGAAAGAGGTGGAGGTATTTGCTAATGAATCATGAGGGAGCTAGGTGGACGTATAATATACCAATACCTAGAGAAGAAACAGAGGTGGAGTAGGTGGTAAAGGTAAATCTTTTCATATAGCATCTTCAGCGGATGGGTGGCCAATGAGCTTGAGGAAAACATGGATCGCTATCTGAGACTGCTCGTACAATCTTGGCAGATGGTTGAGTTGAAGGATTAGAGCAGAAGGAAGTCCAAGAGAAAATAGCGGCAAAGTCCCATGAGATGAACATATGTTTCCTTAGATTGAGTTATAGATTCTCTTGAGAGAGAGTACACGACACGACAAGACGCTTTACCTGTTCCAAGTACTAATCCTATTTCTAATATAAGACAACACAGTCTACCAATAATCCAGACCTGACAAGACAAGGTTTTAAAGAAAGTAGGGAGAGAACAAGGTGTGTTGCCTTTTACTAACTCTATTTTTAATATGGGTGAGAGTTGTCCACCAATAGTCAAAGCCTGACAAGACACAACCTATATTATAGAGGAGAAAGTTCGTATTGTACCCTATCCATCTCTCTCCTAATAGGAACTACTAGAAAAAAAATTGTGTTAGAGAAGACCATGTTCTCGACTGTTATCTGAATTTTGTCCTCTGAGATTAAGGGTGGAAGTTGATCATAAAGCAGCTAAAGATAAGATATGGAAATTATTTTTAGGCTCATAAGATATGCAATAGAAAGAGGACAACTCTTTGGAGGTCCTTTAAATGATGGGAGTAACTAGACAATGGTCAAAAAGGAACACAACATACTGAGAAGTACTTCGTTATTGACTTCTTTGTCATCCTTAATTTTTTTTTTTTTGATAACCGTGGATGTCCGGGCCAACTTGCCCGCACCTCGAATAATCCCACGAGACCCTGAAGTTTATAGCGGTCCTGAGGAGACTCGAAATGGTGACCATTGAGGAGTAAACCCAAGACTTGACCAATTGAGCAACCCCTCAAGATTTCTTTGTCATCCTTAATAATAACCATTTCTACGTAATACTCCCCAAACAAACATGCCATTAGGATCTTAGCTTTGATAGCCGTACTTCGTGTTATAATCAACTAGGAAAAATGAGATCCAAACATATAGAATGTGATTCATTGATAATAATAGAGATTCAAACACCAAATTTTTTTGAAAAACAACTCAGAAATGCATGAAATGTACCGTATAATAAATAATGAAAGAGGACTGACCTGAATAGTATAACACAAGGCAACGTTTTGATTCCCAGCTTCGTAACAAAGAAAGGTGCATTCTACAGAAACATTTTAAAAGGAGTAGCCTTAGTATTTTTCCAATGAATGAAATCAAACACTAGCATGAAGAATCCAAATGAAAATAGTTGACACACTAACACCATTAGGTTGGACGGAAAAGATGGATGAAAGTAAACTTCTACATATTTTTTTTGAAATCTAAGGTAGCAATTATTTAGCCAGAACATCAATTATACAATGCCTAAAATTTTATTTCTATCATTCAAATATACCTCATATTTAACAAGGAATAATCAACTTTCCTTCCAGTAGGAGCAGAAATAGGGTGGAAACTATCCATAAGTCAATTTTAAAATATATAGACCATAAATGTTTTGTATCTCTTAATAAAAAGCATTCCTAGATTTTTATTTTATTATAATAGCTATCTTCTATGTAGATATACAATTATAATTATACAAAACACACATACGTTTAAACATCATCAAGTAAAAAAATCGTTTAATTTTGAGTAAAACACAGGACTAAACAATTTTCTACAAATGCAATGTGGTCAAGTATTCTAAGGTAACAATTATTTAGCCAGAGCATTAGTTATGCAATTCCTAAAATGTTATTTCCACCATTCAACTATCCCTCAGATTAAACAAGGAAGGAAAAATCATCCTTCCTTCTGCAAGGAGCAGAAATAAGGTGGAAACTCTTCATTCGTCAATTTTGAAATATATGAAGCTTAAAGGTTAAAACGGACCTCAGCATCCAACTTTACGAATTTGGTGCTACAATGTCTTGGAGCGAGGGACTTCAAATGTTTGTCCATAATCCTAAAAAGAGTCATTAGACAAAATTATAATTTAAATGATTTGTCAAAACGAAATTAATATATGAGAATCCACAACTGTGAAACATGTACTAAAACGTGCAAGGCCTCATATAATATATTAGTCTCACCATCATCACAAGTTTGGCGCAAGCATTCTCCTCAAGGATATAAATTCCTTTTTTTTTTTTTAATGAAGGGATTGAAGATGTATGTTCTAGCCAAAAAGTATTATGTGAAAATTATAATTTTCAGGCAAAAATATAAGCAAAATTCTCACGTCACAAATGAGAAGTTCCCTATATCATTTCTTAAGATATTGAGAGAGAATCCTTACTTGCAACGGTAGAACTCGTGATGGTAGAAGTGACAAATTACTTTATCACTGCCAGTAACTTCACCCAAAAAGTCTGCTTCGGTTATCTGCCTATACTCTCCATGCCCTTGCATTTTCAATTCTTGTCGCTTCTCAGCTTCTTTCTACAAGAACAAATCCGGGAAAACACTATTTCACCATCCAAAAGCCAACCCCGAATAAAATCACAGTAGGATATTTGATATGAGCACACCAAGTTACAAACCTTAAGAGCTGTAATCCTATCTGCATGCAATTTTTCAAGCTCAGGGTCCTGTTGTAACACAATGATTGTAAACAAAGCACATTTTGCAGCAATGAAAACAGAAATTATAACTTTATTCTCCACTTACATCCATCAATTCATCGAGATCAAAATCCTCATTAACAGAAGAAAATGCATGTCCCTTCTCTTGAGCAAGTAATTCCTGTAGTGAACTCACGCGTGAGATACAAGAAAAGTGCGTAGCATTAGCTAATTGGCATTACATTGCTTATCAAATTTTTTAAGGTAAGTAACTAGGATATAAGTAAAGTTTCGTCATTTTTCATTGTTTGCTTCTTGAAAATCTTTGGAAGATCGAATGCAGTAACCGTGCAAAACTATAAGGAGTCACTGAAAAAAGGCGCATTATTTTGATCTTGATGAGTCACTGAAACAGGGGCCTAAATGGCACATTATTTAGAAATAAATTCTTTATCTTGCTCACATCAATTTGGGAAAAAAGGAATAATCATGAAAGGGATTACCTTTTGGTAATCACGGGCTGCAGCAGCCATTACATTGCCGAAAGCCAAATTAGAGAGGGTTGATTTCACTGAATCGGGATCCATTTCTCTTTTCACTGAGATTAAAATTTCAAGCTCATCGTTGAATAGAAGAAGAAGCAAATTAATCTATTAACCCAGGTACAGGAATTACCTTCTTCAATTTCAGAAAAATACGATGAAAACTTACCAAGATCTAGGTTGAGGTAGCGATTACAAGCTGAGTGGGAAAATAGTTTGAACCATAAAATAAATTTCTATTATTTGATATTGGGGAATTTTTAAAAAAGGCTCATTTTAAAAGTAAAAAAATCTTGACTTTATAGAAAAGGGCCCTTTCATCTAGTTACTTATTTGAAGCATCTTTTTTTTGATGAAACATATTTCATTGAACACCGCAATAGCAAAACGGTACACGGAGGAACACCTCCAACAATATGCCCTACAAAGAGGGATTAAGTGCGACCAAAGCCTGAGCCCAAGCTATTACAACTGTCAGAACGACCAAAAATCAACAAGCAAAAAAGACCATCAAACAAACAAAAACAACCCAAACCACATAACCCCAAGCCACAACAGGCGAGCCAGAAAGAGACTCAAATCCACAACAATGGCAACCTTCCAGAAACGAGGTCTTCATCAACCATCAATTCACATAAGCCCTTCACCATCACAGTGAGCGAAGATCCAAAGGAACCAGAAGAATCACCGCACAAACCAAAAACACCACCAGCCCACCAAACCACCTCCAACCAAACCAGACCACAACACAAATACGCCACCACCCGACTCAACCCAACAACAACCACACACCGTGAACACCCCCAATCAACACCCAAAAAGACCCCGACACCACACCACCGATCACCCACCCAGCCACAGCTGCAACAGCAGCCAAAACGGCTCGCCGGCAAAAGCCCCAACCCGCGGCAGCGCCCCTGCCGATTCCGGCCGCCTGAGAGACAACGACCAACGCTNGGGAGCCTATGCGCCCACCTCCCCGACGATCGCCCAGAGTAAGGTGAGACCATGAACGATCCTTCACCGGAGGAAGGGGAGAATACTCCACGGAGGGAGGGAGAATACTCCACCACGCTGGGGAGACGCGTGCGATTATTTAGAAATACAGTTATCAAATGGGAATAGGGTAATGACCCATCAAGGTATCGATACACAAACCATTAATCGACTCATCGAGTATTGATTTAGCCAATACAGTCATTGTCAAATTAAAATTTACACAAAAATATTTGTAAACGAGGCCCGATTGTGTGCTCATTCATTTATTGTTTTATATTTTCATTAGTATCCATTATATAAGAGACTATTATTTCCTAAAAAAGAATTCGTGCAAGCTCCTTTGTGCTTCAAGTTGTGGACACACTATATTTTGTTGTTCGACCAAGAATGTGAAGTCAAAGGCAAACCTTCGATTGGAACTAGTCAAAGAGAAAAGTGGGCAGCTTCGGGACTGGAGGGTGGTGATAGCTCTTGTTACGTTTGAAAAAAAAAAAAATTAAGTCAAAGTTTTCGGAGTAGTAGAAGAAGGACAGACAATTTGGTTAAGTCATCTTACGTAATAGCATAATTAACTCGCGGAATTTAGTAATGAAAAAGAAGAAGAAATCAAACTAGATTATTAGGGTTTTGTTTTTTTTCAATTAATTATTAATGTGGAACTAACAAGTGAGTTGTAACTTATGACTTTTGGCAAATGTTCAGACAAAAAATTCTCTTACGAAATTATTGATGCCACGTGTATGGCAACAATTCGCAGTTTAGTTTAACTAATTCTCCTTAATCAAGAATCTCCTTGTAATTAATCATAATTGTAGACTTTGCATGGCCATTTGTTTTTGTGAGCCATTAAAAACTAATTAAAAAGGTATGTGAACTTCAAATACAAATCGAACTATAGAGAAAAAGGGTTTGTCAATTATTATATTCCAATACGTAATGAACACAGTAAACCCGAAATACAGGACTCAATATGAATCAATGAACAAGCAATTATTGTATTGATCGATTCTTCAAGTTCGAAAGATTCCAAATTACGATACAATGTAATAGAATTACTTTACAAGTTCGACGCAAACATGATTCGGTACCTTTAATTTCAACACCTAGAAAAAAAATTATTTTGCTTACTATTATAATACTGGTTAAAATCCAAGGCATGTTAAAAACCCATTTAAAATGGCATGACCTGCCCAACCCCTTCATCCTACTAGCAATTCTTCTCTCTCTCTCTCCACAAATTCTTCTCTTTCTCTCTCCACTCTCTCTCCGGTTAGAACAAGCAATTAAGCATACAATATAATCAGAAACTCCCATAATTTCCTCTTACAAACTCTGATTTCAATTGGGTCCAAAACTTCAGTTTCCTTCCTTGTGCCGCTAAAACAGATCAAGAAATGCACTCAATATCAACTTTACATGCTGCCAGTCTTGAGACGTGCAGATTTTTGGCGTTAATTCAGAATCTTTGAATGCTCCTAAGAGTTTAAGCTATGGAAAATTTCAAGAATTCCTCGTCTCAGCTTCTTTGCCATTTGCAAAGAACCAAGAGATCATTCTGTGCTATAATTTCTGTTCTTTTTCTCTGTCTTTTAAGTTATAACAGTGCCACAATGTTCTTTGCCAAAGTTCCTTTTCCTGCCAGAAATCTCCAGGAGCCACCCAGTTTTTCGCCGGAAACTGTTGCCGGAGAGTCAAGGAAGTCTTTTTCCGTGCCTTCTTTAACTAAGCTCTCACCTTCTGTTCCATTTGGGATCAAAAAAGAGGTTTCAGTTGAGAAATTGAAAATCCATTTGCCTCTTTCACGTAAAAATCCAAACTTAGTCGTTTTTGCCAGAAATCCCCCGGAGCCAGCCAGTTTTCCGCGGGAAGTCGCCGAAAAGTCAAGAAAGTCCTTTTCTGTTCCGTCTTCAACTAAGCGTTCACCTTCTGTAAAGTTTTCGATCAAAAAAGGGATCCCAGTTGAAAAATTGAGAACACATTTGCCTCTTTCACATAAAAATCCAAACTTGGTAGTTTTTACGAACAGAACTGCATTGCAACATCCAATTAGGAGGAAAAAGCAGAGTCAGGCTTTCAAGATTTTGGGCTCCGAGGCTAAAATGAAGCAGTTTTCAGTTAGAATGAAGGAATTTTTACTGAATTCCTCCTGTGAGTATCGTTTTTTCATGACATGGATTTCATCAGTGGATTCTTTTGGTGGTAGAGAGTTATTTGCTATAGAGAGTCTATTCAAATCACACCCAAATGGCTGCTTAATCATAGTCTCCAATACAATTGATTCAAGAAATGGGATGCAAATCCTAAGACCCTTTTTGGCTAAGGGGTTTAAAGTGACTTCAATCTCTCCAGACTTCAATTATCTGTTCAAGAACACTGCTGCAGAATCATGGTTTAATCAGTTGATGAAAGGCAATGTGAATCCTGGAGAGGTCCCTTTAGGCCAGAACCTCTCAAATTTGCTGAGACTTGGATTGTTATACAGATTTGGTGGGATTTATTTAGACACTGATGTCATAATCTTAAAGAATTTCGGGAATCTAAGGAATGTCATTGGGGCTCAAACAATTGATTTTCTGACAGGAAATTGGACCAGATTGAACAATGCAGTAATGGTATTTGATGAAGGCCATCCACTTGTTTACAAGTTCATCGAGGAATTTGCACAAACATTCGATGGGAGTAAATGGGGACACAATGGGCCTTACTTAGTTTCAAGAGTTGTTTTAGGGGCTGGAACTGGTTATAATTTCACCGTTTTACCGCCTATGGCATTTTACCCCGTTGATTGGAACAGAATCGGCAGCCTTTTCGAGGGGCCGAAGAGTCTGGCTCCCTCAAAGTCGAAATGGTTGCTTGCGAAGTTTAGACAAATTAATAGACATGGATATGCATTGCATCTTTGGAATAAGCAGAGTAGAAGGTTTAAGGTTGAGGAAGGAAGCATTATTCAAGATATTATGTATGATCATTGTGTCTTGTGCAATTTTTCTTCATTAGACATGTAAACTATACAGTATAGATTAAGGATGATAGGGGGATTGCGTATTCTCATTATAATGCCCATTCCATAGAATAATTAAAGAAAATGTACCAAGAAACATGTTTTTGTTTCACAAGTTCTACGTATGTTGTAGTTGTATTCGTTCATCGTTTGTTTCGATCTAACTTAACTTGAACTGAGTTTGCGGGTCAAGATGAACCTCGTATAGTATGCGTTCTAGGTCCATTTGCATATAACTAGGCTCGATTAGCATTGCATGTTCAGATCTCCAAATGCATACACTACTATGACTATGACTGATCTAACTCCTTTGTCGTTAGTAAACTAGCAATATTAACACGTAATTCTTCTCTTTAAGCATTTCAAGTTCTATATTATTGAATACCTCAATGCTAAGCCAAAATGAACAGGAAATGCACTGATTTGTCATCAATAATTTATGATAGCACGAGACTCTTCCATATGAATGTGATGGAAGATATGTCACAAAATAATATGATCCTTACAACCCTAATAAACATACTTTAGTTGAGCCATGTGCATTATGTTGAGAGTTTTGGGCAATATCAATCTATCTAAGGGTTTAGTGTCCACAATTTTAGATGATATCTCTATTACAAAATTTATACTAGTCGATATTTTGAAATCATAATTTGAATTAGATTTTACGTCAAATCAAACACGTGGCAAAGCGTTTATAAACCTTTGTGTTTTAAAACAGGGCAAATGGGTGGTGAAAAAGAGGCGGTGCTTGTGAATCTTTTGATATATGTTGATAAAAAACGATTTGATCAAAAGTATTTTTTAACCAATGTGTTTAGAAATACCTAGAAACAATGAGCCAAACATAGGCTAAATTAACGGGATGACCGACCCTCAAATCATCCTTTAGGAAGTCATACACAAATAGTCATCATGTAAGTACTAGTATCGGTATTTATAAGTTTTACTTCTTTATTTTTGTTCAATCTTCTTCGGTATTTTCTTGAAATAAGATATGATAACTACACCAAGTCAAACATATCTCGCCTCTTTATGTACTTTATCAACGTGTTAAGGAAATTGTTTGGTGACAAAACCTTTGATTTCTCAACCTACAAGAAAGGGAACCATGTTAGAAATCCATCTATATCGATATAGACGTGAATTCGGGACATCGTACCAATTTTTTCTATATTATTATACGAGAGGTATAACTTTGGAACACCGTAGCTTATCAAATTTACCAAATTCCTTTAATTGACAAGAGGTACAAGTTTGGAGTATCACGACCTATTTCAAGAGGGTCACATTGCATTAGGAAAGTACTTTGATTGATGAAAATTATGATTTCATTTTCAATTTGATCAAGAGATAATCAGCTGTAAGTGTTATGCCCTAGGTCCAATCAACTTTGGACATAAACACTTTGAATATATATAATCGATGCATATATATGACAATATCTATTATTTAATTGAATTAATATTCTAATAAATTAAATAATAGAATCCGTAGATTCAAGTCTTGGTGATTTGTTAATCACAAGGAGTTGTGATTGTGAGATACAAATTACATATGACTGAATCTTAAATCGTCCGTGGTCGAGGTAATAACGAGATACGGATATCGTTATTACGGATAGACTATCGCGTGTGG